ATATATATACATATATATATATATATATATATATATATATATAATGGATACGTTTGAAGCTGATAATACAGAATTACTTAGAGGAGTTTGGTCAAACGTAGGGACTAAAAACAGCAATAGTTACATAAAAATGACAAATTCAAACAAAAACTGACAATTTCCTGATTGTTTCAGGGTAGTAGTGCATGAGACTGTTTAAGGACAGCTTAATAAGTGTACTAGTTTTGTACATCACAGTCAAGAAATAGAAAATGGTTGTTGGGAAATTTCTAGAGTGATCTGAGACCCCACCCTGTGCACAGGAGTGTTTACCCCAGGAGACTGTTTACCCCAGGGGTGTATTTATCCCAGGAGTGTGTATGTATATAATTTTTCTTCTTTTTTCAGATAAAGTTCCTGCCACAATCTCTCTTCCACTGTTTCTCAAGACTCCGGCACCAACCATGGGCCCGGCCAGAAGACTTCTTGCACCATGTCAAGTGGTCAGACTGCCAAACAGAACCTGTTTTTCATCTCAGTTTGCCTCCTCCTCCCAGACTGTTTCCATTTGGAAAGGCTCATCTACAGGACAGGCCAGACCTGGTTTTAGTTCAGTACAAGCAACTGTGAAAGGGGGCAGATCTGAAACCAGCACCCTACTTTCCAGTCCACAGACATCTCTTAGTCCCAGCCCAGTCCCAACTAGTACACCACAATCATTTTCAGTCCTCTCCAGATGTCCCTCCACCCCTCCCACATTTCCACCCTCAAGCCCCACAGCTGCTTACCACCCCAGGTTTGGACAAAGTAGTAAACATGCAACAAAAGATCATCTCACAGCAATCACAGTCACATCTGTGGTAGACTTCGAGAAGATCTACAACTTCCTGAGTGCTGTCCAAAACCCCAGTGATGATTGTCATCTTACACCAATGGGTGAGTCACAGAATCCTTTTTTGTGGTCAGTATATACCCACTTTGCTTCATCTGAGGTCACTTGAAACCATCCATCCATCCATTATCTTTACCCGTTTATTCCATTTTGGGTCACGGGGGTCGCTGGTGCCCATGTCCAGCAATCACTGTGCGAGGGGCGGGGTACACCCTGGACGGGTCGCAAGTCCATCACAGGGACACATGGAGACAAACGAGACAAACAACCATTCACTCTCTCACTCACACCTAGGGACAATTTAGAGTTACCAATCAGCCTAACACGCATGTTTTTGGTCTGTGGGAGGAAACCGGAGTACCCGGAGAAAACCCACGCATGCACAGAGAGAACATGCAAACTCCACCCAGAAAGGCCCCTGGACCGGGGTTTGAACCAGGGACCTGCTCGCTGAGAGGCAGCAGCTCTACCAGTTGCGCCACCGTGCTGCATTCATCTGAGGTCACTTGAAACCCTGTTTACACATTCTGGGCTCAGTGTAGACAAGGCCTCAGTGATAGGCAAATTTTTGTTTGGTTGTCCAACTACTGGCTGATAACGTATTTGCTCGTGTATCTGTAAACATTTTTCCTTTAGCGAGGGACAGACCAACATATCAACAATCTTCATACAACAGTGGAAGTCATATTTTTGTGTCCAAAAAGCCAATAAAATAATTGATTTGCTATTATTATGGTTTAAAAGACACAAAACTTTAGTCAAGAAATAGTTAGAGATCCAAGCCAGTGGAGGCAGTGGACAGCTTTAACGCAGCAGCATTTTCATCCAGCGGAGCATGGAACCCTATTGAAGCTGTTCTGTTTTTTGTTTCCTTCCATAAATAAAAGACATATTGCAGCCCATACCTCAAGTAGTACCACAATGACATGGTAGTAACTGTCCTGCGCGTACGGCACAGGAAAATACTCAGACATGTTGGCCTATAGGAGGCACTATAATTGGAGACTTTGCATTTGATCCTCGAAAGGCTCTAGTATACTCGCGTGGACCTTCTTACGCATGGACTTGATGTGCACTGTCTGCAGAGGGTTGAGACCTCGTACTTGAACGTCCACCCTGAGTGGCTGCAGACAAGCTCCGCAGGCAAGAGACATTTACCTTTGGGACAAATGCGGCTCGGGTGGTCGCTGAGGCAAAAACTCAAGCATGGGAGGAGTTTGGAGAGGCCATGGAGAATGACTTCCGCACGGCTTCGAGGCGATTCTGGTCCACCATCCGGCGTCTCGGGGGGGGGGGGGGTAGCGGTACATCACCAACACTGTTTATAGTGGGAGTGGTGCGCTGCTGACCTCAACTTGGGATGTCGTGAGTTGGTGGGCAGAATACTTTGAAGACCTCCTCAGTCCCACCGGCACGTCTTCCACTGAGGAAGCGGAGCCTGGGGACTCTGGGTCGGGCCCTCCAATCTCTGGTGCTGAGGTCACCGAGGTGGTTAAAAAGCTCCTCGGTGACAGGGCCCCAGGGGTGGATAAGATTCGCCCCGAGTTCCTTAAGGCTCTGGATGTTGTAGAGTTGTGTTGGCTTACGCGACTCTGCAATATTGCGTTGACATTGGGGGAAGTTCCCCTGCATTGGCAGACCGGGGTGGTGGTCCCCCTATTCGAAAAGGGGGACCGTAGAGTGTGTTCCAACTACAGGGGGATCACGCTCTTAAGCCTCCCTGGTAAGGTCTGTTCAGGGGTTCTGGAGAGGAGGGTCGTCGGATAGTCGAACCTCGGATTCAGGAGGAGCAGTGCAGTTTTCATCCTGGTCGTGGAACACTGGACCAGCTCTACACTCTCAGCAGGGTCCTGGGGGGTGCATGGGAGTTTGCCCAACTGGTCTACATGCGCTTTGTGGACTTGGATAAGGCGTTCGACCACGTCTCTCGGGGAACCCTGTGGGAGGTACTCTGGGAGTATGGGGTACCAGGCCCTTTGATACAGGCTGTTAGGTCCCTGTATGACCGGTGTCAGAGCCTGGTCCGCATTGCCGGCAGTAAGTCGGGCTTGTTCCCGGTGAGAGTTGGACTCAGCCAAGGTTGCCCTTTGTCACCGATTCTGTTCATAACTTTTATGGACAGAATTTCTAGGCGCAGCCAAGGTGTTGAGGGGATCCGTTTGGTGGCCTTAGGATTGCATCTCTGCTTTTTACAGATGATGTGGTCCTATTGGCTTCATCAGATCGTGATCTACAGCTTTCGCTGGAGCGGTTCGCAGCAGAGTTCGATGCGGCCGGGATGAGGATCAGTTCCTCCGAGGCCATGGTGTTGAGCCGGAAAAGGGTAGAGTGCTCTCTCCGGGTCAGGGAGGAGGTCCTGCCCCAAGTGGAGGAGTTCAAGTATCTTGGGATCTTGTTCACGAATGAAGGAAAAATGGAGGGTGAGATCGATAGGCGGATAGGTGCAGCATCTGCAGTGAAGTGGGCGCTGTACAGGTCTGTCGTGGTGAAGAGAGAGCTGAGTCAAACGGCGAAGCTCTCAATTTACCCATCTATCTACGTTCCCACCCTCATCTATGTTCATGAGCTTTGGGTTGTGACTGAAAGAACGAGATCTCAGATACAAGCGACCGAAATGAGTTTTCTCCGCAGGGTGTCTGGGCTCTCCCTTAGAGATAGGGTGAGAAGCTCGATCATCCGGGAGGGACTCAGAGTAGAGCCGCTGCTTCTCCACGTTGAGAGGAGCCAGTTGAGGTGGCTCGGGCATTTGTTTAGGATGCCTCCTGGACGCCTCCCTGGTGAGGTGTTCCAGACACGTCCCACCGGGAGGAGGCCCAGAGGAAGACCCTGGACACGCTGGAGGGACTATGTTTCTCGGCTGGCCTGGGAACGTCTCGGGATTTTCCCGGAGGGGCGGGCGGGCGGACGGACGGACGGACACCAATTGGTCATTTGCTGACACACCTACTGGATTGATTGTCAGGTCGCAAAAAAAATAAAATAGAGCTGAGCTTTGCACGGACATGCCCTGCTGGCGTCCACTTCAACTCTAATCCGATATGTGTGGACTGACGTACGCCTGAGTATACTGGAGGCTTGACATCTAAACCCTACGTCACAATGTTTAATGGCTTATATCCTTACGTTCCCTGATTATACTGAATCGTGGGATAGACCATGCCCATTTCCTCCTCAAATAATTTATTATTTTATATCGCAAAGTTTGAAATACCTACTTTTGACTAAATCTCAAAGGTTTTAAGTCTGACCACTATAAAACTTGAAATCTAAAATGTAAATACCATATGGATTATAAGTTTCCAAGTAACAGTAATTATCATTTTCAAACATTTAAAATATGCCTAGACAAATAATTTTGACAAGCTAGATGAACAAATTTATTTTCAATTCAGTTTATTTATATGACGCCAAGTAACAACAGAAGTCCTCTCAATAATAAGTTAACAAAAAGATTTGTATAAAAATAATTTAACACTATTTATCTGAGGAGCAGACTGCTTTGAATTTAACTCCATCACAGAACTCTCATCTTGAGCAAGCATGAAGGTGACAGTGGAAAGGAAAAACTCCCTCAAGAGGAAGAAACCTTTAGCAGAACAAGGCTCAGGACAACTGGCCATCTGCTTCGACTGACTGGATTTGGTAGGAACAGATACACAATGGCAGGTCAAGAATCGCATGTTAAGATGGAAATAGTATCAAATGAAAACTATTCAATTTTAACAATTCATTTAAGGAAATGAGGTCAATTTGTCCTCTATAAGTCTAAGCCTATAGCTGCATAAAAAGCCAACCCTAACTAGTCTTAAGCCCTGTCTTAAAACTGGACAATGTGTCAGCCCTACAGACAGAAACTGGAAGTTGGTTCCACAAGAGAGGATCCTGATAACTGAAAGATCTTCCTCCCATTCTGCTTTTGGAAACTCTAGGGACAGCGAATAAGCCTGCAGTCTGAGATCGAAGTGCTCTGTTAGGAAAATATGGAACAATAAGAGTTCAAATATAAGATGGAGCTAGGTTGTTGAGAGCTCTGTTGGTTAGAAATAAGATTTTGAATTCTATTCTGGATTTGACAGGGAGCCAATGGAGAGAAACTAAAACAGGAGAGATATGATCTCCTACTAACTCTAGTTAAGACTCTGGCAGCAGCATTTTGGATCAACTGAAGATGTTTTAAAGAAGTATTTGGACACCCAGGTAACAAACCATTGCAATAGCCCAGTTTAGACGTGACAAATGCATGAACCAGTTTTCCTGCATAATTTTTAGATAAGATGTTTCTAATTTTAGTGATATTACGCAGGTGGAAGAAGGTGGTTCTAGTAACGTTTTTAATGTGGGGGATTAAAGACATGTCCTGATCAAAAATAACACCAATATTTTTAACATTAGAGCTGGAGGCCAGATTAATGCCATCTAAGGAGAGAGAAAGACTGAAAAATGTATTCCTAAGATGCTCAAGTCCAAAAACAAAAACTTCAGTCTCGTCTGTATTCAAAAACAGAAAATGTAGGGTCATCCAGGTTTTCATGTCTTTAAGACATGTTTGTAGTCTAAGTAGCTGATTGGATTCATTGGGTTTCATGGACAAATATGTAATATGAACAGGGTGCAGATATATTCATACATTTCACGGGTTCTTCATTTTTCTGAACTGTGTAAATGTCGTGCATTGAATTGAACAGAAATGTAACGAGAGACGTTATTTATCTTTGACCCATCAAAATGAATGCGGTCATTTATTTACAGAATCAAAGTTTAACATCAAACATTTACATTAATTTGGCAAAATATGAAAATAACAACAGCATAGTTTTCCAGGAAGTGAGAACAATACGGCGATTGTTTTCACTTTTCAGCTAAAACGGCAGACATCAATTCACACGACGGTGATTGAGAAACTTTGCTTCAGACATTTCTAAAAATATCTGTAATGATTTTAGGAGAAAGGAGAGTTTAAGATGGAAAATAGAGATTTATCTTACAGAGAGATGTGTGAGGGAATTTATCTGTGGTACCAGAACAACACGCTCTTTGGAGAATA